AGTTACAAGAATCTTAATAAAGTACTAGCATGGCTGCTTAAGAGCAAAAAAAAAAAAAAAAAAAATCTAAAATACTTAAAATCTAGATTTAAAGCATTACTTAAGTTTGAGAATAAAAACACTTTAAATCTAAGCCTAAAGCATTACCTAGATTTAAAAGCTAAAAAACTAAAAATTAATTAACTACAAAATCTGAAATCTAAAATATTAAGAACCTAATCCTGGAGCATTGCCTGGGCTTTATAGCTAGTAATACATCTATATCTATATTTACTACTACTAATATTATTTTTGTACTTATATTTACTACTTCTAATATCACATCTGCATCTACATTAACTACTACAACTACTATTGTATCTTCTGTACCAATATCTAATACTACTACTGTTATTAAATCTTTTGTACTTATATCTATTACTACTGTCACTACTATATCTTCTACATTAAGATCTGCTATTACTACTGCTACCAAATGTTTTACATCTATATCTATTACTACTACTAATATTACATCTGCTACTGATATCATTCTATACCTATTTCTATCACTATTACTGATATTACATCTGTACTTATATCTACTACTATTAATATTATGTTTACATCTATATCTACTACTATTATTACTACTATATCTTCTTTACTAACATTTGTCACTATTACTGCTATCATATCTTTTGCATCTATATCTACTATTACTACTGATGATATATCTGTATCTACATCTATTACTACTATTACAACACCTGCATCTACACTTACTGCTATTATAATCAAAAAAATAAAATGTTTGATTAAAGAATTAAATACTTTTATTATAAGAAATAATTATAATTCTAATAATAATAGTATTAATACTAATGATGATATTAATAATCTAATTCTAGTACAATATTTTAATAAAGTTTTATGTATAAAGAAATATAAATCAAGTGCAAAGTAAAAAGTAATTAAAAGCTAATATAAGTTTTTGCAAGAATTTGAACATTAAGTAGAGAAAAGATTAAGTAAACATCAAACCAAAAAAATACAACATCTAAAGTTTATAATAAACTAATAAAAGTGTATTCCTATTACATATTTTACTTTAAGAAAAGAATTGAAAAAACAAATAAGATATATAAATTATTTGAAAAAGTTAGTATTAAAAAAATTAAAAAGATTAATATAACAATAGCAAATAAAATTTTTAATTTCTCCTAAGAACAAATAGATTTAATAATTACTAATTATAACTAGTGATTAGTCATTAGTATTAAATAAATAAATAATTTTTTTCTTTATTTATTATATTTTAAACAAACTATATATATTTAATATATTTACTATTATAACAAATTACTTGGTCTTTTTAAAATAAATTTACTAGTAGATTTGTAAATACTAATTTTGTATTATAATGTATTGTATTAATCTATTTATATGCACTAATTTGAAATAAAATAAAAAATATATTATAAGAGCTTTTTTTTTAAAAAAAAGCGAATTGGCATACTTTATTAATATAATATAATTATTTAACTATTTACAGTTTAATATATATTTTATGTTTATATAATATGTAATTTTTTGTATTTTTTTTTCTTTTTGCAATTTGTTTAGAACTTGCAAATTTCTTTTAAGTTTTCCTTTAGTAACTTTATCAACTACTAATTCAGAGATAATATCTTCACCCTATTTGGCTTAAATATATCATAACCATATTTCATATATAGCTGAGATATGTATCCATCATGCTACCTCCAGTTTAGAGACATCACAAATATTACTAGCTATAAAAACTTCTTTTAGTGTTTCTGGACACTTTACTTCTTGAGGATTATTAAATACTCTGTAATGTTTTTCTCAAATTATTTTGCTAATATTACAATCAATTGCAAAATATTTAACTATTTGTTTCTTTTCAGAACAGTTTAGGCAGTTTTATCTATATTCTTGTCTATATGCATTAGCCTATATCTCAATAATAATGTACTATTTTGCAATCTTCAAAAGATGTTCTTTTTTCAATTCAATACTCTCTTTGTATCTAACTATTCAAAAGGCTTTCATCAGTTTTCTTGTAACATTATAGAAACTTGAGAGGTTGTTGGTATTATTGAATGTAATCTTAAATATTCTATTGCTTTTTTTACTGAGTACTGATCTCCTAACTGGTTACCTATTTTTAAACTAGAGGCATTCCATGGCTAACTACTTGTAAAGTTGATTGATTCTTCAAGTTTATTAGATATGGTCTTCAGAATTTTGGCCAACCTTTTAACTTTATCAGATATTTAGTTAAGGCCTTAGTTACTGTTATTTCTCTTTTATCTTGTAACTGTTTAGATATTAAAACTTTTTCTATTTTCACCTATAGGTTATTTTGAATTAGAAGTTTGATTTATCCTAATATTAATCTGGCATCTAGAGCATCTTTAAGCACAGGAGCTGCTAGTCTTTCTCTATCATAGTCCAACTAAAAAGCTGCATATCTAGAAAGCATCCTGGATTTATTTTTAATCCAATTTGATATAAAGTTATTTATTTTGTTAACTGTTTTTTGCTTGGTAGCAACAGGTAGGCCAAATATCAGATTTTTAAAATAAAGAAAGCTTTAGCTACTAGAATTTTTCTTTTAAAGGATAGGTTTCTAGTTGCTATTTTTTCTATCTTGTTCTTAATATTTTAAGTTAGATTTTCTTAAAGTTGTTTTTTAAAATTGCCTTCTATATCTACTTCATATCTTAAAATTCTTAAGACAATTTTTTTGTTTGCTATTTTGTATTGACTTTGATTTCATAATTCTATTACTTTTGTTATATTTGTTATAGGAATTAGTATAAATTTTTCTTGGTTAATTTTAGCATTAAATGCTTGCTTATATTGCTTTAGCAAAGCCATCAACCTTTCCTAATTTTGAGATGAGCTAATTCCTATTGTCAAATTATCTGCATATGCTACAGCTTGAAAGCTGCAACTTGGTAGTTAAACTTCTTTGATTTTCTCTTGAACTTTAAGAATCAGTAGATTCATAGCCATTATGTATAGCAGAGAAGAAAGAGGATCTCCTTGTTAAACTTCTTTTTCAACTTTAAATAGTTCTGAGATTATGTTTATATTAGTTATATTAGCTGTTTAAGAATTGAAAAAAGATTTGATGATATTGATGAACCTCATATTGAAGTTCATTCTTTCTAAAACCTTTAGAATAAATATATGATTTATTTTATCAAAGGCTTTTTGTTGATCTAAAAGCAAGAGCCAGTGAGAAACAGCCTGGTCTTTTTGGTTTCTTATTACTGTAAGAATATCTAAAGCAGTATCTGTAATTGATCTTCTTTTTATGAAAGCTTATTGTGATTGGCCAATTATTATTTTACAAATTAAGTTAAATCTGTTCATCAAGATCTTTATAAAAATCTTGACATTACAATTTGTAAGTGATATAGGTTTCTAATTATCTATATTACTTAACCTTTCTGTTTTTTTTGGAATTAGTATAATAATGCTTTTAGTCCAGGACCTAGAAATGTTGCTTGTTTCTAAGCAAAAATTAAATAGTTTTGTAAGTACTAGAATAATTTCATTCTTGATATCTTTGTAGAATTCATATATAAGACCATCTAAGCCTAGAGCTTTGTTGTTAGAGAATATGTTTATTATATTGTTAACTTTTTTCTTAGAGACTTGTTTTATTAATGCTGCATTCTGCAATTCTGTTATAGATAGAAAATTATATATAAAGAAGCTTGCAGCTTTTATGTCTATTCTATCATTTATATATATTGCCTAGTAGATATTTTTAATATATTGCAATATAGAGGTTGTGTTTTCTGTTATATATTTTTGTAATGAATGTATCTTATCTTTGGCTAATATTAAATTTCTTATCTTATACAGAGAAAAGAAAAATTTAATAAATTTTTCTTCTTTCTCAATCCATTTGGCATTAAATCTTATTTGCTATTTTTCAGAAAGTGACTAAAGTTTTTTTTGTAACTGTAACTTAATGTTTTCTTTAGTTATTAAAATTTCATCTGTATTTTCACTATTAGCTGTTTTGTTATCCAGTTCTGTAAGCCTTTTTTGCAGTTTCTGTATTTTTTTTTTGTAAACAAAATACTCTTATTATAGACTGTATTCTATATTTGTATAGATTCCACTTTGTAAAAGTATGGATATTTGTAACTTCTTTTATTATTTCACTTTTAAAAAACTGTTATTTTAGCTGTTTTGAGAAAATCTCCATTGTTTGGCTCTAAAAGATGTTGGTATAAGTTGAAGCTTACATCCTACCAACAGATGATCTGAGTTGCCAAATTGTGTTGCAATGTTTTGACAGTGATAAATGTGATTTGCAACTATAAATATATAGTCTAGCCTAGTGGCTATTTTATAGTTTCCTTAAGTGTTTTGATAATATGTTAAAAAAAGGTTCACTATTATTCATAGCCATATATGTATTTACAAAATTTGTAGTAAGTTCTTTAAGTTGTTCTCTTGTAAGGTTATTAGTTGCAAAAGCATAACTAATTTGATCTTTTTGTAGATTGAAGTTAGTGTTAAAATCTTCTGCCAGTATGTTAATGTATTTCTTTTTATACTGTAAAGTCCAAAAATTAAAGAACCAAGTCCTATCCTCTACATTTGATAATGTATATATATTATTTAAAAGAAATAGCTGTTGCTTATATGTGAAGTTTGCTATGATTACATATTTATTATATAATTCCTTGATATTATTAAAGTAAATATTTCTGTTTTCTGCAAGTATTGCAGTTTTAGCTGTCCAATAAAAACTGTAATTCCATTGTTGTTGCAAAAAACTTCTTGTATTCATATTTTCTAAGTTGGTTTCTTGAAGCATAATTATATCTATTCTATATGATTTTAAGAATATAAATGTTCTGTAAGCTTTGTTCTTGTTATTTAAATCTTTAACATTTAAGGTTGCAATTTTGATTAATTTAACTATATTTGTTATATATGAGATATAATTTAGAATCTGTTAGTTTTTAAGTTAAAGACCTTTAAGTTTACTTTATTGGATTTGTTTTTTCTTAAAATAGCTATTTTGAATTTGTATTTGTGTTTTCTCTTATAGGTGACTACTTTAAACCTATCAGTATCTTCTTGTTTAGTGTTTGTTAACATCATAACCATTGGCATATCATTATATAATAATGCTATTGGATCATATAGACCATTTTCTTGTATATTTAATGCAATTTCCTTTTGTATTGTTTCTTTTAAAAGTATAAATTAAGTGCTTTTAGCATTATTATTTATTTTGATTTTTGTTTTTGGTTGTTCTGTTTCTTCATTATTTGGGAATCTACCATTAGCTTCAATTTCTGCTTTTGGTTGCTCTGTTTTCTTATTATCAAGATTCATTTCTAGACTAAGTTTCTCAGTATAAGGATTTTTTATACTAAATTTTGTTATAGTTTCTTTTTAATGATTTATATGTTTTTTCTCTTGTAATCTTTATACCCTTCTTACCTTTTGCAGATTTTTAGGTTTAACTGAAGCTTGATATTTAGAACATTCTTTCTTAATATGTTCTGTTTTGTTACAAAAGTAACAAAGTTTTGAAGCTTCTTTCCAGTTTGTTGTTACTTTGTAATTCCAAACATGTGTATATCTAGAAATTCTATTTGCTAGTTCAGGAACATCTGTTGTTTTGAAAATTATCACCCATTGGTCTAATAATATCAAAGTTCCTTTATATACTAAAGGTTTGATAGATACAATTGAACCCATATCTTGGAATGCCATTTTAATTTGATCTGAAATAAAATTTTTCTTGCCTATAGAAGCATTTTGAAGTTTAACTGAAAGAAAGCTATATCTAATATTAATTAGAATGATCCCTGAAGGTTTTGTTTGAAGATAGCAAGACTTTCTACAGAATATAGTTGTTGCTTATCCTTATTTACAAAAACTACTTTCAAATAAGTTCTTTTTTTTTAGAAATAATTGGTTTAATCACAACTATGTCTTCTCTGAACTTTTGTGCTATTGCTTCTATAATGTTAGTTGTTGAAATATTTTCAAATTATATATCTCAAAAATCAAATTATTCTTGTTCTTTGTATTAATTCTTTTTCTTAATAAGTAAGTGGAGTATGTTGCCTTTCTTCTTTCTAACTTGGAGAACAATTCTGACCATTGTCTTGGTCTTAGTTGGATACCTGCTTCTTTAGTCACATAACTTATATCTTGTGTTTTGTTGTTATCATATTCCACATGATTATTTTGTAGCATATGTTCTGTTTGTTTTGGTTGTTCTGATAGTTTCTAATGTGTTTCTTTGCTAACTGTTATGCCTTTAGCTTTTTCTTTGATTTTATCTTAGTCTTAATTTTTTTTCAGAGGTTCCTTACCAACATAGTTTTTATTAAGACCTACTATTTTGTTTGTATTTGCTGAGGTATCTAGAATGGATTTTTCCTAACTTTTAGTCTTGTTTAGTAACTCTGCTTCTTGGTTTTGTTTTTTTTTTTTTAAAGAAAGAAACTCTGATTTTTTTGTTTTTTCTGTCTTGCTTATTAAAAAGCCAGACATAACTATTGTATATATTATTTTGCCTTTCACTAAAAATTGAAGTGAAGAGAGAGAGAGAGTTTTTATAAAAGCTTTTAATTTATTTTATCATATAATATTTTTTTTATTTTACTTTCAAGTTAGTGCATATATACAGTTTAATATAATACATTATTATTATTATTTTTTTTTTTTCTTTTTTCAGTATTAAAGTGATCTCTTTGGTCCGAGCTTTTTATTAATACTTATAGCGGGTACATGTTTTATATAGATGAATCTATAATGAACTATTAGACAAGTGTACAACTGGCTATATGTGTAACTTTTCTATATTACCTATTTAAGAAGTCTG